CACATTTGTTTTCCAAATAAATATTACAAGCAAACTGAGGGATTAGCCATGGGATGCCCCCTCAGTCCTATCTGGCTGATATCTACTGATTATTATGAATCAAATTGTTTGAAACTTTAAACTTCCCGCATGGTTTTCGCTACGTAGACGATACTTTTACTCTGTTTGAAGGTAATAAAGATGATTAAATAAAGTTCTTTCAACAATGAATTCTATTGATCCTGCTATTCAGTTCACTTTTGAACTTGAGACTTGCAATTCTCTTCCGTTCTCGACATTCTGGTCACACGTAACACATCCAACTTCAGTACTACGGTTTACTGTAAACTTCATCGGTTTGCCTTCCACCACACTTTAAATCATGTCATCCGACTAAACAAAAAGTTAGCTTCATTTTATCCTATGTTTTCCGTGGCTCTTCAAGTTTGCTCCTCCAAACGATCCCTTGATGAAGAACTAAAGTATTTAAAAAGCAATAGCTATGACAGGGGCTTTCCACCCCAACATTATCAATCAAGCAGTTAAAAAATTTCATCTCAACACACACTAAAAGGCACAATCTTTGTTTTAGGAGATTATAAAAATTCTGTTGTCATTCTTTCTTTCCATCAATTAGCTATAAAGTTGCACATATTTTGCAGAATTTAACTTTCGGGTTGTTTATTCTCCCTTAATAAACTCCGAGTTCCATACTCAAGGACCCAATTCCGGATATGATTCCTAGAGTATTTATAGGATTCCTTGCCAGTTGTGGTTTAATTTACTTGGCCAAAAACTAAGCCTTAAAATTTCGCGTCAAGGAACATGAGCATATGTTAGAAAAAAGGAAACACAGAAGTTTTCTGTTGCTCAACATTGTTGCTCCGAAAAACCACACTTTCAGTTTTTGCTGCCAAAATTATTCAAAAAACATCTTCCATGGAGAGACTGGATTTTCAGAGGCATTTCACATTCATAAAATTTTCTGTTCTAGTTAACGATCCTAATTCCAATCCAAATTTACCTTCGGCCTTTAAAGAAATTATGTTTTAGTTCTGGTTTCACCAACACATGGCGCCACTTGCTTATTCTTGTCCAGACTTTCTTATCTTATCTAATCATTATTTTCTATCTTGTTCATTTGCGGTTTTGCAGCTGAAGATGGTGGTTCGGTAAAACCATCGAAACTAGTCCTGTGAAAATTTTGTAAATATAACGCTGATTTTTGTTGTTTGACTTCTGAATTATGTTAAATATGTCAAGAACCCATCTCATGACAGAAATATCACAGCTATACTTATAGTAACATACAGGTTAATAAAATTTTTGGAAAATTACAACTTCAAAAATTTATTACTGAAAAATTTCACAGAGACAAGAAATGAAATCCTCTGTAATGAATGAGTACTTTATTCATTAGTACTTCACAATCAGATTATTAAACATTAATCAGATTTTACAAAACAATTACATAAAATCTTATTTATATAACTGAATTTATCCCCAATATCATACACAATTAACCATAATTTCATTATTTAAGGGCCAGATTTTATTATGTACTTTTATTAATTCTATGATTCTTTATCAAGAACAGAAAATAAATTAAACATAAAATTAAAAAGTTTTAAATATGATCATTTTCCTAACCCAAACCTTGCCATCTGATCATTTTCCAAACCTTGTCATTAGGTTAACTCTTACACATATTTCAATAATTCTTTTAAATATTTTTGTTTTTCAGAACTTAGAATTTTTAACAGCTTCTAATTTCCTTGATAAAAAAGGTTTAACACATATAAAAAAATTGCAAGATGTATTCCATTTACTCTAATGTCTCGAGGACCAAACGATGGGAATTGTGTGTAACAGGTACACAAAGAGATTGGTGGATTAAAAGAGTTGTGTTTTAAACTACACTTGAAAAATGAATCGAAATAATAAGCAAAAGAACAAAGGATATAAAACAATTTCTTAATTAGGTACCTTTATCAACAGTGAATAAGAAAGTTTAAAAAATAATTACATACATTTGATTGATTTCATACAAATAAATCCAAGAATCCATAATTCCAGCAGAAAATAAAAAAGTTTCTTCTTTGTTAGGAATTACAGTGCATATCTAAAAGAATGAGGCAAATAAAATGTAAGTTATAGTTTAGAATATTATATAACCCAAGCATTCACATGAAATTTAAAAATTTAGCAAAAATTTCCAAAACGTTTAACTTCTTTATAATTTCTCATTCAGCCATAAGGTACTATGAAGAAATGCTGTTTTATGGATTAGGTAGCAGTATAAAGTCACAAAATTTAACTAAACCATTTTCTAAAAGCTGTATTAAAGCAAGATATGTAAAAGGGTCACTGTAATTTATATAAGTTGCCAAAACATATAAAGCAACAGATATACATACAGTTACTTACTACAATTAAAATAAATAAGCATCAATTTTACAGAATTCTTAAGATATTTTAGCATTAGATTTAGCTTTACTTATTTTTTATTACATGGATTCTTAAGATCTAAATCGTAAAAAAAAGAATGCTAACTAAAGAAAAAGTAATCAGTATGTCAAAACTGATAATTACTAACTGTCATAACAAAGTAAAACTGTAATCAAAATTAAAAATAATCAACCTGTAAAACATTTTATTAACATGCCTATCACTTAAAAACATTCTAATTTCTCATATTTTTAGAAAAAGTTGAAATTATGTTCTTCATTTGCACTTAATTTAACAGAGATAATAATTTTCAATCTTTACTTTGCTTCCAAATTTATCCTTTCAAGTAATCTTATTCAAGTATTGCAAATTAAGTTGCGTGAAAAACAAAAATGTACTAGGCATTTGAAAACTTTAAGTCATTTCATGATTTTTTTAACTTGAAGTAAAAATAATAATGCAATAAAAAAGCAATGCTATTCCGCCAATAGTATTTAATTGATCAAAGAACTAAAACTGAATAAAATAATATTTGTTTTTTTTAATATTAGCTTTAATCTTTTAAGTCTTTAAAGAATACTAATTGAAATAATTTTAAAAATATTAAATCTGATGTAAATTATCACTGTAATTTCAAAATAAAAAAATACATGAAAATGTAAAATTTTGCAACCAACATATATAAAAAACAAGGTGCACAAAAAAGATAAATATTTTCACTTCATAAGTCTCATCAATTGCACTAAGTGCGATGGAATTACCATTATCTATGCAAAAAATAATTAAAAAAATTTATGAAATTTCAGGCAATGATTTGACTAACTACTAAAAACATTACTGGATGAATTTCATACTACAGGTGCTTATAAAAACTCTCTGGAAATCCATCATAGACATAGGAAGACCAGATGTCCAGGTTTATGATTATGTCTGGGATTTTTGTTCGAAATTGAAAAATATTTTGGAATTTTAAACAAAACTTATTGTGTATCTAATTAATTGGTTTTAGGGCTAAATGCATCAATGGCAGTACAAAACATTTTTTCAACTACAAACTACTTCTGATGACCATTTCTATAATTGTCTTCAGAAAAAAGTCGATTATATGGGTGTATATATATATTATATACCAAATATTCATGTAGTGACTTTTATGACCACACAACACCCAACAAAGAGCTTCTAAAGAAAATATTAGTTAATGAAAAATATGGAAGAGTGGAACAACAACAAGAATTCCTGTTATCCATTTCTTATTTACAGAAATGCTGCAAGAAATATGCAGTCTACTTTTCAATAGCTTGAATATTTTATTATCATTGCTGTATAATTTTTTTTATTCTTTTGTATGTCTGTGATACATGTTTAATTAACATACATGTAGTACGTTTTATAATCATGAAATTGCTTTTCATAAAGCTTTCTGGACATAGGTATTTATAGAAAATTTTCAGAGAAGAACTGAAGATAAATAATTACACTAATAAATTTTTATTCAAGTCTTTAATTGTGAGACCAGTAAACAGATTACAATATTGCACACACAAATATATATATGCATACACTTTACATCCATCAATACAGTTTTTTCCCTCTCACTTCAACAAGGTTACATGCAATTCAACATGATGGTGAAAAATGCATAATCTTTACTTGATAGTTCCTATTCATAGGTACTTGAGACAGAAACTTGCATATGGCAGCTTTAATTCACAGTTTAAATTGAATATCCTGGTTATTAAAATTCCAGCTATTTTTTTTTTTTTTTTTTTTTTTACTACCAGTAAAAATGTTTATTAGTGTATCCCTGCAAATATTTTATTTAAAGATACCCAGCCTTTTAATGATGATAACTTTTAGACTATAAGATACATCTTTATACTTGAGACCTAAGTCACCTAAAATTATAATGTATCTTAATATTCAAAATTACGTTAATACATGGAAAGCTAAGCAAATCATGAATTTACTATAGATGGATAAATGAAACTGTCACAAATTCCAAAAGAGCATATCTGAATGAAAATTCACAGGAAACTGTAGAAAGAAAAACAATTATCAAAGACAAAAGTCTTTAAGAAATGTGGCATATAATGAATTAATTGGAAGCAAACATAATTCAAATTTTGAAAAATAAAAGATACAAATGTTTAAACAATCAGTGATAAAGCTAGTGACAACATTAAGACAGCTAGAGGTAAACTTACCGAGTGTTGGAGTAAATTATAGTAATAATAACACACACAATAAATAATTAAATTAAATTAAATTAAAAATATAATTAAGGTTAAATATTTTGTAATAAAATACTTTTTCAAAAAATTGCCTCATAAATCTGTGGTGTGTCTTATTGGTCCAGTGCAACTCATTATCTACAATACGGAGAACACAAGGAAAAAATAATTTTACCAATTCAAAATTTTACTGTACATGTACTAAAAAAAAAATCAGATTTTTATTTTTACAAATTCTACACCGAGGAATGTTCAGCTTGCTTTCAGAAAACTGTGCACCTCATTTAATAAATTATATATATTAAACTGAACATAAATCAGGAAGACTTACACCGTTAGAATGACAAGCAACTGCCAAACTTGTATTTGGGTTTCCATCAATAGGATATTTGGTTAGACCAATCATGTGAGTTGTTTGAAAAACAAAACATCTGTATGAAGATCCTTCAGCAGTTGCAGAAAAATAATCTTCTGTATTTGTTACACCCTACAAAAGGATAAATCTAGTGAAAAAAAATAAACCTCTGATTAATAAACCTTAAGATATTAAAGCATACTATTATTACTAAAATTACTATTTTCATTTTTCTTTCTAGACATAGCTCAAAAATATTTTTTCCCCAATTTGAAGTAAATTTACAAACAGAAGTTTTAGAATAATAATAATAAAATATATATATATATATAAGTAACATTATGAAAGTGAACTTGATAAAAATACAAGGAATACATATAAATATTTAATATCATATAATCATTTCTAACTTGCTGATGATTCAGTCTAAGTAAATGAAGAGTGAGAATATCTATTATGCTTACAAATCAACTTAAATGAAGAAATGTACATTAAACCTGAAATTAGTCATAAAAATTACAATAATGATATTATATTAGTTAAATTCACAATAATCTTCTACACTAATTAGCAGTGCTCTTTCTATAATAACAGACACATCCCATCTATGGTGTTTTAATGAAAGTTTCCTGCCACCACAAATAATGTCCGCACAAACTGTGTGCGCTGGCATGTTTAATCATATTTTGTCAAACAACTTTTGGCATTTGAAAGAAAGAGACTGGCTTTAGAACAGTGTGTTGTGAAATTTGTAAAAGAATATCATTAAGTATAAGGTGCCTGAAATGGAACTACCATGCTAGGAGATTAGAACCATCATTTACTTCCAATTCTGTTGCAAAACATCAGCTACAGAATGACACAAAATTATGTGAAAACCATGTGCACAGCCTTTGGTATTAATGCTATATAATATGACACTGTGAAAGTTTGGTACTGAAAGTTCAAAAACAAAAACTATGACATTCAAGAAGCAGAGTGCTCTGGCCAGCCTACTGATGTTGATGAGGACTGCCTGTGAGAACATGCAGAAGATCCGTATGCAACCACTCGAGAGCTTGCTAAGGTGTTAGATATTAGTGTCATGTCCATTAGTTGAACTATGCATTGCATAAATTTGATGAACAAGTTCAATCGCTGGGTGATGCATGAACTAATTCAAGTAGATAAGGACAGATGTGTTTGGACCTGCTTGAATATCAATGCAAGGACAAACTCAGGACCGGATCATCACTCGTGATGAAAAGTGGATTTTCTTCAACAACACAGGCCAAAAAAAGGGTTTGATCTGCACCCAGTGAGCTCGTCATCAGCATCGCAAAGTGCCAGTTTGACTAACAAAAAGATTATGCTTTGTATCTGGTCAGATTGCCAAGGTTATTACCCACAAAGAGTATCTGGAAAAAGGTAAAACCCTCGACAGTAAGGTGTACAGCGAGATGCTACTCCATGTTGATGATGCTATCAGGGAAAAACTAAAACGGTGCTAAACATGAGAAATTATTTTTGCCTAATAATAAATGTAAGAACAATATACATATTCATATTTAATTTCTGGAACATTTTTAGCTTTTCTTTTAAGCAAGTCAAGAAAATATGCAAAATATGAAAAAACAAAATTTCCGTATATAAGAAATAGATTGCCTTTAATCTTTCTGGTGTGCTTCTTTTGAACAGTCCAGCCCAGAAATAACATGGGCATAAATAGAGGGTGAAACATCAACCTGCGGTTTGGACTGGAACAAAAAGAAAGCAGTTAAATGTTCCATTTGCTTAGTATGTCAACATATTACTTAAGCATTAGTGTATTCCTTTAAGCAGTAGTGTAACACTGTTGTAACAATTGTGTGACCAGAATGCATATTTAAAGTATCAGTGCAACCCTATTATAACCACTGTCAGTTTATACTGCATAAGTAAAAAAAAAATCTATGAACTGCATGCCCAGTTTTTTTAACATTCAGTAGTTAAATACAAAGTCACAAATTACTGGTTTCCCTAACAACCAAAAGTATCAAAATTTACGTTAAGATTGTAGATACACATAAAAGATAGGACAGGCAGGGACACTACTAGTGGTGGCAGAGCTTACGATGTCATTTTCACCAGACAACAACTGTACTTTGGCACCAAAATAGCACTACAGGAAGATGCTGTTAATCTGAGTAGCTAGTATAAAGGGCTATATCAGCTTACTCAGAGTAACTAATAGGTGGATCCTGAACTTATGCCTAATAACTGTCCTGTCATTTTAATTAACATGATTAATTTAAATACGATAGAGGCTGTAATGGCTGTGGATGAATTTCTAATTCTATTTGCATTAAGTTGTATCTAATGTTGCATTACATAATGAAAATGGAGTAATTTATGCTTTTCAAACTTATGAAAGTAAAACAAAGAAGTATCTTAATAATTTCTAATAATGTACTTGGAATTTTACTTTGATTTTTAATATTTCCCACCTGAAAAATCAAGTAATCTATAATAAACACTGAATACCAAAATTTCATATCAGAAAGAAAAGCATCCTGATTTAAAGTTATTAAAACAGGATAGGAGCCATCTATAACAAGGTACTACTTCTCACATTTGTGTATTTTACATTATCAATTACCATTTCTTACAGTTATGACACATACTATAAAACTATTTAAAGAAGGTTTTAAATATTTGGAAAATTAAAGCTGCAAACTTATTCATATTTTTCCAGAAAGAAAGCCCTTAGAAAAGCTATGTGGTAATAAAGACTCAGTTTTTTAGGAATAAGAGTAATATGCAATTAATAATGTGAATTTATTTCATCATTCCATCATTTGGAAAAACAATAACTGAGAAAGGTTTTGAAAGAGAAATACAAGGTCTTGTATGTTCTAAAAAATAACAAACCTTAATAGTATGTTGTAAACTAATATAAAGAATTTAAAATTTCTGAGAATTAACTTTTCACATTTACTCAAATTCCCTTCAACATATTCTTAAAGTATTTAGTGCAAATAAAAATTACACAGGAGAAATATTGTGAAAAGTGTTTATATGTGTAATGCTTATAACCTGCTTTCAGAATATGAACATCAGGGTTATTAGTCTGAACGATACGCATGTAATTGAAACACTTAAATATATATAAAAAGATATTAATTCTAAGTGCTATAAGGTATTAAAACTATGGTCACCAGATTTCGAAGTTTGAAATTAGGGATGCTTTTTATGTAATTTACCTAATTTTTTTGTACAAATTAATTATTTTATTAATGTTTTCTGATGGAAGTGGTATGTAGGTCAATATATATATATATACATCAAAATAAATAATTTCTATTCTATTTTTTAATAGAGACATATAATATTTTTTAATAAATAAAGAACAAATCTAAGTGCAGTATTCATTTTTAAGCAAAATAACAAATTTGTAACCCTTCTAAATTATTCTAATGAAGTAACCTTATATTTCTCTGAAGCATGAATATTTCTTAGAACATTCTTTATCTTTTCTGATCTTCTTATAAAAGTCTATGCAATATTCATCAAAATTTAGTTGGTGATTAACATAGACTTCAAAGCATCCACTTTAAGATGTGTCTTATCACTATTCCAAAACTGTTCATAATGTTAAATACTCCCTCAGTTGCAGCATTAGTGCCATGAAGACAAAAGAGAAACTCTGGCTATTTTAAAACATTTCAGCAAGGAGTTCAGTTCTTATTAAAACATGCAGTTATTTCCATGCACCTCTGAGTGACCCACCAGCAGCTGAGTGGTAAAGTCGCTGAACACTGGTAGTTCAGTTCAAAGGTTCAAATCCTCTGAATGGGCTGGCTTCATGGACGTTTTCGTGGTTTTCTTCATGTGTAACACGTATATGAGCCAGTGTCCCTTAGAAAGTCCTCCATGAAGGCATGCCTTAGGCAGATAACCCTCAAGCACTTTGCCAAAGCCAAATAAACCAAATCAAATCATCCACCTCTAAACTCGGCACATCTTATTTTTTTGGAATTCCAAGATTTTTTCCTTCTGTGATACATTATTTAAAGGACACATATTCCTCACATATATCAATTTCCAATAATTTATAATTAATCCAATAATTTGGTATCATTTTATTAATTAACAAAAAGGCTGTTTCAATCCAATTAATATGATCCTGCTGTACATTTCCATCAAATGAAACATTTTTTTATCCATTTCTCCAAATAAGTAAGAGCAGTCTGACAGAATGAAAGCTTCTCAAAATTCAAGAAATTCTTATTGTGACACATCTCCATTCTCTTCATGTTTGAGTTTTGTTAACATTTATTGGAACAAAGTTATCTTCTATCTTGCTCAATATTGAAGCTTTCAGAGCATCTGTTGAAATAATTACATCAAATATAAAGACAGCTTGATTTTCAATTGTTATAATAACTTTATGAAGTATATAAGCCTGGATGTTAATAAAGCCACTGTATTTTCAAAGAATTTTAAAATAAGCATAGGACACTTTTTCTTGAGATTGAAAATAAGCCTTTAGTGGCAAAACATTTAGAGTACCCTTCCAATGGTGGGAAGTAAAGCTAACCATCTTGCTTGTGAAGATGGACCCTATATCATTAAAAAATTGGTTTCTAAAAAATTGCAGAAATTTTTCAGTGTTTCTGCTCTAACAGTAGGAGGTTTTAAAATATTTCTATATCTTAGAAATAATCATTTCTATATCAAGTGGTAAAACATCAGCTGATGTTTTTATAGTATTATGGATAATATGCACTTCACATTCAACTCCGATTAAACCATGGTTAAGATTTCGTTTTAGTTTAACAAACACATTATTTTCTCCATGTCTATCAGGTCCTCCAAAGTTAGAATTCATACTATCATCACAAAGACCAATAACTTTTTCTTTTAAATTATTTTATTCAAGACAGGTAGTTAAATAGTTGCTGACAATATTATAAATATGTAAATAACTCACTTTTTCATATATATATTCAAATTACTATTCAAACTTGTTTTCACTAATATAACTATTCAATGTAAATTGGAAAAACCAACATCAAATTGTATTTATAAATGTAATTTGCTTTGTAATTAATTAATAACGAATGACCTGTAGTGCCCAATGAGAGGCGAGGCAGGCTAAGAATAATAATAATTATTATTATTAGTCATAAGAAAAATAAACTATTACCGTTTTATTGATTCTTCATACAAAGGCAAAGAGACCATGCGAATCATATTTTCATCTTCAATGTTATATATTCTTAGTTTACTCTGTAAAAAATTACTTTATAAAAATCTATCATTTACATATATAATTATTTACAATAAATGTGGTTGTCATTACTTATCTCACTTGTCTGATAGTAACATCAGAACAAGCTCACGAAATTCATCGAGGCAAAGAATGCAAGATTGCACCTGTCATTGGCAAGAGCCGCCCTACAGGTAACTATTTGACTTTGTTCAGTTCTGCCATCAATTTTGACAGAAAGCAACATGGGGAGACAGGTCTGAGGGTCTCCCATCTCTTTTTCCCTACCACCAACCTCTCAAGAGGACTTTCGGCTCGCCGCATATTTAGAGTGCCCCCATGCTGCACTGCACTATATATTTACAAACATCTAAACCTTCTCTGGGATTCAAGCCCAGATCCTTCAGTACAGCAGCAAGAGTCACTAACCACTATCCCGGTTGAGCAGCATTTCCAATAAATGAGTTGCATAAATTCAGATTTTGTTATGTTTAATATGTATTCTTAGTAAAAAGTCTAAATTTATCACTAAACTTCTCAATAAGAAAGTAACAGATAATTGATATAGATGTTAAGTTCACATTGTTAGTTGCCAATATGCTAAGTAATCCTTAATACTACTAATAAATTCTGAAAAAACATCCAATAACAACTAGGACTCTACGATTAATAATAATAAACATATACATATTAAATTTAATGTATGATTCTGAATAAATATAAAAAGCTTTTACCATACTAACCAAAATAAAAAATTCAAAAAATCAATTAGCTTTACAGAAGCATTCATAAATTAGAAAGAAAACAATTTTAGCAAAAATTGACTAATCAGAAAGAGATGCATTAAAACGGAAAATACTAAAATTGTTAGATAAAAACCAAATTTTGATGAATACACAAAGAATTAGATGTTTTAGTTATAAAACAAAAAAAGGTTATGTATGTTAAAATATATAATTACTGAACAAATTTCAGTCAGAAGAATTCATCATTCATAATATTAGAAATAAAAAATTTCTTATAAGTAGGCAAGCAGGTGTAGGTGAGAAACATATTTCATAAAGGATATGAAATTTTCTTAAAATTGGGGCTCTCAGTTATAAGACCATAAGTTGTATGTCTTATCTTCCTTCTTGATATGGAACCTTCTTGATATGGTGCAGTGTTGACAGGTGAAAGTTAAACCAACAGTTGGCCAAGAAGGACTCTTTGGAATATTTTAGGGTCACTTATTCTGCTAACATTCCAGGAACTTTTAACTAAAATTTAAATACATAATATTATAGCACAAAACTTACTGGTGTTTATGATTGACAGCTATGAAGATTTCCAAAAACTGTGATATATTTAATGGACAGATAAAATTACAAACTGCCCTTTTTTAAAAAATAAAATTTTTCTTCTTAAGTGCAAGCTTCTCTTGATTATATGCTTTCTTATATTACTTTCTATTCTCATGATTCATTTCTTAAAATTTTCATTTGGTACTGCAAGTATTAAAAAAAAAAAAAAAAAAAGGAACTTACTGGACTTGGCCCAGTAGCGACTGGACCATGAAGAATTATTAAAAATAGAAATGATTAAGCTCAAATTAAGACTACAGAAAATACATGAAACATTTTGAAAAATCTACTTATTATGAAGAAGCGAGTCCACTCCATCTCTAATAAAATATATCTGAAATAAAATCATCATAATTATTTATGAGTTCATGTAGAGAGTGCACACAAAGTCAGTATATTCTACGTAAATGTGAGTAATAATGCTTCACTCAAGCATGCAACTTCAGCAGGAAGCCTGTGCATTGCTAGATTCCAACAAGAAGAGGCATTTGCCCAGTTCACATTGCCTGTATGATGCCATCAGAGCAAAATCTTTATGAATAATTTGATAAGACAATTTTCAAACTCTGCTTCTCTGGCATCCAAGAAGCTCAAACCTTATGAACCTGATAATGCAACAATAGTCTGTGCTGCAACACTGTTATTTACAAATAATGAGCTAAAAATTGCCATTAATGAAACCATCCAAGAAGGGATGCTTTAAATGTTGGATAACATGAATCAGAGAGCTTGTCTATACATTTTGCTATATACAAACAATGATGGGAAACATACAAAAATTTTTGGATTCCTAAAACATAGTTATAATGGTACATATATGTTGTATGAAGTACATATTTATGCAGCTAAGATTTAACATACAGTAATTTTCACTTGTCCCTTCATAATAATAATAATAATAATAATAAAACACTCATTGTGCAATAGTGATAATGATGAAATGAAAAAAGACTAGGGAATGGGCATTGAATTACTAATATATTTAATTTATGCAGAGAACTAATCATACTGTTAGCTTAGGGCACTGAAAATATTAGAGCTCAGACTGATTATTATATTGTTCAAATGGCAAGAGGGAAAGTTTTATGATGTAGCCATACAAAATATAATTTTTAAAGTTAATAAACATTTGAATAATAGTATGTTAAAAAATGTTTATTAATACACATTCATGTGCAAAACAGAAAATTTACACATTATGTCAATTTCTGAAAAACTAAGGGGCATATTTTAATTCATTCATGAAATTCAGTGTGAATAAACATTTATAACAAAGAAAGAGATGTATCATTTAAAATTCATTTTACATACACATCCAAAATCCACATTGTGATATTGAACTAAAATTTAGTCTAATGTGGGATATGATCCCCTCTCACAGCCAGTCAGCTTGTGTAGCATGACGGCATACTGGACAGGATTCAACTGAGGAATCCTTGCAGCAGTTGATGCCCCTCCTGCAGCAAAGCAGTTTTCAACTGCATGATGGATCTTGGAGGGTGATGGCAAGATTAAATTGCCCTTCCAAGAGAATCCCAGACATGCTCTGCAAGGTTTCAGTCAGAAGATCTCACTAGTTGATCTATGAGGCTAATATCCTCACTGTCCAGTAAATCAACAACCAGTTAAGCCCTATGTGAAGTAGTGTTGTCATCCATTAACAAGAACCCAGGACCAAGTGCACCCTTGAAAAATACCCTGCCATCCAACATAATACCTGCTCAAACCATTACACCTCTGCAACCATGATAATTCTTTTCCCTGGTGAGGAAGGAATGGTACCATATTTCAGGCTCTCTCTAGATATAGGTATGCTGAAAATCAGTGTCCAGGCTGAAAGGCGCATATTGTCATATCTCATAAAGCATTTGAACAACTGTAGACCATGGATTTAAAAGTTCCAGTGGCAGCATAGCTCACACGAGAATTGTGAAGCTGTAGCAGTCCTAATGACCCTTATTTGTCATTGTGGATCTTGATCGAGCTTGCCCAGGTTTTCTCAATATGGATCCAGTGTCCTGGAACTGCTTCCATAAATTATAGATGACACTGGGCATAACACTGAGCTCTATAGCGCCACCTACATTTGTGGTTGGCCTCCAATCTATTGACAATTCTCTACCTTATGCCATACGTTGGTGGCTATTCGTTTTGTCTGAAACATTGTCGAATCATTAGTTTTTTCCCACCATGTAAGGAAACAGAAGAAATTTGCAATGCTGTCTCACTGGGATTCAAACCCTAGACCTCCTGAATACACATTGAGCATGCTTCCAATAACACCACAAAGGCAAGTGGAAAAGAAGGGAGAAAATACCTTATATATTCCCCCTTTTAAAAAGTGATTGGGGATTAAGGGATCCCAATCAACAAATCCTGTTGGTGACAGATTATTGACCACCATTTTTAGTTCAGGCACTACTGTAGAGTCTTTTAAAACTTTTGGGTATGAGGAAATTGAAGAAATGTGCAATGCCCTTGCCCGGATTTGACCTCCAGCCCTTCCGAATGCACATCAAGTGTGCTTCTATTTACACTATGAAGGTATTGAAATTTAGGGAGAAAATACCTTAGACCCTTATAAAATATATACCCAAAACATACGAGAAACATGGTGAATGTTGCGAAGGAGTACAAGCACAGAAATTGCTGGAAACCACTCATGCACTTATGATCTCCACAATCACAGCTCTGCAAACACGCATATGTATGGTTATGTATTCAACTCTGAACATTTGCATAATTCTGCAGTGGCATAATTAGTACCTTTGGTTCAATACCTTTCATAAAAACAGATATAATTTGCTTGCAAACTCTCTTAATTTTGCACACGAGTGTAAATTATTTCTAGTGGAAATGTGAACTATTAAATAATCTTTGACTGAATACTAGGTACAGTATGATCATTTTACAGCCTATCCTTCTATATACTCATGCATCTACCTAACAATAATTGAAATGCAGGAAAAGAATATAAAGATGCTAATATTAATATAATATGGCCAGAAGATGTATAGAAAGAATCAAATATACAAAGCTAACCAATAGTCACAGGAACTACCAGCAAAGTTCTAAATTAAGTTCTTATCCTTGTAAGTAAAATGCACTAGGACAGAAGCTTATAATTATCAAGATTTTATATTTTCATACAATTACTTGAATATTTAAAATCAAACCTCTTTTTAGAAGTTTCTTAAATTTATTCTTAAAAACATAGAAAATCATTAAATACAGAAATTCATTTATGCTTTAATATTATAAATTGAATACATTCTATATAAATACACAAGTATTAAATTTCATATTCAAAAATTTATTTTACAATATTTAAACATAATAGACATCAAATATTCACAATTAAAAATTACAAGTCTAGAATCAAAATGAATTACACATAAGTAAATAAAAATTCTTTAGTTGCAAATATTAAAATATTACTGATCAGATACATAAATATGCCTTACGTCATCACTGATAACAGCTATCAAATGGGATAGGCCAAATAATGGATACCAACTCATGCATATTGGAACAGGCTTTCCTTCTAATCTTATTCTCTCAGATACAACTATTTCAAGGGCTTTAGAGCTTGAAAGATTATACTGAACCTTGTGAAAAATATGAACAGAACATTTGCAAGTTTGCACAAAATTTTAAAACATAAATGAATAACATAAATATGAACCTACTTAGCATTTTAATAGAAGTTAACACAAATTTGTCACTTCAAATTTCAGAACCAGCTTCAGGAATTTCACAATTTTTTCCACTCTGGTGTTCAATACAATCCGTATTCCTACTTGAATTATCCGTACAGCAAATTAAAAAACACTCTTTAAAAATTAAAATTGTGATCTAAATGCATCAGTTAATATTATTTTTTACTTAATAAATTTCAAAATGCTTTAGTGTACTAAGTTATTAGACAAAATTGTACCTTAAAAAATTCTATAAATTAGATTAATATGACAAATAACTTTAAAGATTTCATGCTATGAAAAGTATCAGTCAAGAAAAAAATCGCAGTGATTCTTACTTTGTTAAATGCTAAATTAAACAAATGTGATTTGCGCCAACTGATGAATGGTGGTTGATGTATTCAAAACACATGCTTTGGATTTAATCATGTGGAGTGGAAAGAAGTGTATTGAAGCATTTGTTCTTTCATTATTAGGCCAGAAATATAAATAGCAACCCTTGTATCAGGTGGCAATGACTAGATTTTATAAAATTGTGACTTATAAGGGATGTAATTAATTCAGAATGGTTATCCAGAAATTCAGATTTTAATATTATTGAAAAAATGATCTAAACCCTGTTCATTGCAATAAAAAATAATATTCTTCAGCAGGACATATTAGAACTATAGTTATATCACTAGTAGCATAAAATAAATACTAAATATGTATAAAAACTGATAATTACATGCCAGATAAAATTAATTTATCCATTAAATGGATAAACAGTTAACTATAAAACTGGACATATGAAATTAAATACAATAAAAATTAAAGTGTATTCATAAATTCTTCATAGACATATGGGCTGAATATATCTAACCTTAATTAAGACACAATAACACGCCGAATAAATACTAATTCAGAAGTCAAACAACAAAAATCAGCGTTATATTTACAAAATTTTCACAGGACTAGTTTCGATGGTTTTACCGAACCACCATCTTCAGCTGCAAAACCGCAAATGAACAAGATAGGAAATAATGATTAGATAAGATAAGAAAGACTGGACAAGAATAAGCAAGTGGCACCATCTGTTGGCGAAACCAGAACTAAAACATAATTTCTCTAAAAGCCGAAGGCAATTTGGATTGGAATTAGGATCGTTAACTAGAACAGAAAGATTTTTGAATGGAAATGCCTCTAGAAAATCCAGTTCTCCAATGGAAGATGTTTTTTGAATAATTCTGGCAGCAGAAAAACTGAAAGTGTGGTTTTCGGACCAACAATGTTGAGCAACAGAAGACTTCTTGTTCTGTGTTTCCTTTTTTCTAACATATGCCTCATGTTCCTTGACGCGAAATTTTAAGGCTCTCTTAGTTTGGCCAATGTAAATTAAACCACACTGGCAAGGAATCCTATAAATACCCCAGGAATTCATATCCGGAATGGGGTCCTTGCGTATAGAAGTCCGAATTTTATTGATGGGAGAATAAACAATCCAAAAGTTAAATTTCTGCAAAATATGTGCAACTTTATAGCTAATTGATGGAAAGAAGGGAATGGCAACAGAATTTTTATAATCTCCTAAAATAAGAGTGTGGCTTTTAGTGTGTTGAGATGAGAATTTTTTAACTGCTTGATTAATAATGTTGGGTGAAAAGCCCCTGTCAATAGCTATTGCTTTTAAATAATTTAGTTCTTTATCAAGGGCTAGTTTGGAGGAGCAAACTTGAAGAGCACGGAAAACATAGGAATAAATGAAGCTAACTTTGTTTTAGTCGGATGACATGATTTAAAGTGTGGTGGAAGGCAAACCGATGAAGGTTTACGGTAAACTGTAGTCCTGAAGTTGGATGTGTTACGTGTGACCAGAATGTCGAGAAACGGAAGAGAATTGCAAGTCTCAAGTTCAAAAGTGAACTGAATAGCAGGATCAATAGAATTCATTGTTGAAAGAACTTTATTTAAATCATCTTTATTACCTTCAAACAGGGTAAAAGTATCGTCTACGTAGCGGAACCATGCCGGTAAGTTTAAAGTTTCAAACAATTTTGATTCATAATAATGCATGTAGATATCAGCCAGGATAGGACTGAGGGGGCATCCCATGGCTAATCCCTCAGTTTGCTTGTAATATTTATTTTGGAAAACAAAATGTGTTTGTTTCAAACAGAGTTGAGTGAGAGAAATTAGCTCATCAATTTCGATGCAAGAGAAATGAAATTCGCGAAGTCTGGTTTCTAGACATCTTAATGCACCCTCCACTGGGACATTGGTGAATAATGATTTTCATCAAAAGAAACCATGAGTAAATTACTAAGAGAAATGTTTTAACCTTTTTATAAACTCTATTGAATTTTTTATGGTGTAAATGTTATTGTCTAATAGAGTGGAAAATCTAGAAACTAAATATTTAGCTAATGGATACGAGGCAGTACCTAAATTTGATACAATAGGGCGGAAAGGAACACCACTTTTATGAATTTTGGGAAGAGCATATAATCTGGCACAATTCGCAACAGATGGGATAAGCGAATGTTTTAAGTTGCTTGAAATGATTTGCGAAGATTTGATCGCAGTTTTTATTTTCGACAAGTCCGAAGGTGAAGGATCTTTAGGGATCGGATTATATGGTCCTTCGTTTAAGAGGTTAGTGACACCATCGATGTAAGTGTTCTTATCCATGACGACTATCTGGCCAGCTTTGTCGGCCTTTGAAATGATAATATCCGGGTTAGAATGAATTTCGCGCATGTAGCTCTTTCTCTCGCAGTTAGATTTGGTTTCAAAGGTTTATTATTGAATTTCACATTATGAGCGATAAGATGCCTAATCATTTCTTTCTGTGAATCTGAAACCTTTACTGAACTTGAAAGCTTTTTCGATAGGAGCCAAAATCTTTGGAATCGAGGGTTTACAGGTTTGTGAGAAGTTAAAATTATATTTTAGAATTCCTCTCTGTTCTTCTGAAAGACTAACATTAGAAATATTAACTATAGGCTTGATGTTTACAATGGGAAGATTTTTTGAACTACTTGAACTGGAAGACTGTAAAAGAAGTTTATCGAATTTAACTGCAAGGGAGTTTTTATGACGGTTAACTGCAGAAAATCAAAATGGTCTGATTTCATGCATTCTGCTTACAAAAGTTTTGTTTTCTATTCATTTCAGTGAGGGATTTTTCTGCTGTTTTGTGTGTACTTTATTATTTCTCAGTTAATTTAGTTTGATTTTCTGCATTGTTTATTATGCCTTCATCCGTTAATCGTTTCACTAAATTACGCCTGAAACGACAGAACTTTCTGAATCCCCTTGACTTTTAGCTAAAGTGTAAACGTAAAAAATGTATCCCCAAATTCATTCAAATTAAATCTAGCCAACAATCTTCCAATCGTGTTCCCAGAATTCACTTAAACTGCAAAGTTGCCTTGCCTCGGTCCATCATAAGGAATATAAGTCAACATTTTTCCAAAATTGAACTTAAGCTACATAAGCTTCATCTGGAACTCGTTAATTCGTATCCAAAATTCACTGCCATGAACAAAAGTCTTGGTCTAGAACTGAGAATGTGGTTAACCGTCATAAAAACGCTCTTGCATTCAAATTCCAAGTAGTTTAAAAAATCTTTCTACAGTCTTCCAGTTTCAAGTATTCAAAAAATTTCCCATTGTAACATCAAGCCAATAGTTAATATTTCCAGCGTTAGTTTATCAGAAGAATAAGAGAGTATCCTGAAATATAATTTTAACTTCTCACATACGTCAAAACCTTCGATCCCACAGACTTTTTGGCTCTTATCGAAAACGTTTTTAAATTCAGTAATGTTTCAGATACACACAAAGAAATAATTAGGCATCTTATCGCCCATACTATAAAATTCAATAATAAGCCTTTGAAACCAAATCTAAAAGAGGGAGAAACAGCGAAAATGCGCGAAATTCATTATAACCCGGACATTATCATTTCAAAGGCCGACAAAGCTGGCTAGATAATCGTTATGGACAAGAACACTTACATCGAATGGTGTCACTAAACTCTTAAACGAAGGACCATATAATCCGATCCCTAAAGATCCTTCACCTTCGGACTTGTCGAAAATAAAAACTGCGATCAAATCTTCGCAAATCATTTCAAGCAACTTAAAACATTCGCTTATCCCATCTGTTGCGAATTGTCCAGATTATATGCTCTTCCCAAAATTCATAAAAAGTGGTGTTCCTTTCCGCCCTATTGTATCAAATTTAGGTACTGCCTCGTATCCAGTAGCTAAATATTTAGTTTCTAGATTTTCCACTTCTATTAGACAATAACATTTACACCATAAAAATTCAAATAGAGTTTGTAAAAAAGGTTAAAAACATTTCTCCTAGTAATTTCCTCATGGTTTCTTTTGATGTAAAAATCATTATTCACCAATGTCCAGTGGAGGGTGCATTAAGATGTCTAGAAACCAGACTTCGCGAATTTTCATTTTTCTTGCATCGAAATTGATGAGCTAATTTCTCACACTCAACTCCGTTTGAAACAAACACATTTTGTTTTCCAAATAATATTACAAGCAAACTGAGGGATTAGCCATGGGATGCCCCCTCAGTCCTATCCTGGCTGAATCTACATGCATTATTATGAATCAAATTGTTTGAAACTTTAAACTTCCCAGCATGGTTCCGCTACGTAGACGATACTTTTACTCTGTTTGAAGGTAATAAAGATGATTTAAATAAAGTTCTTCAACAATGAATTCTATTGATCCTGCTATTCAGTTCACTTTTGAACTTGAGACTTGCAATTCTCTTCCGTTTCTCGACATTCTGGTTCACACGTAACACATCCAACTTCAGTACTACAGTTTACCGTAAACCTTCATCGGTTTGCCTTCCACCACACTTTAAATCATGTCATCCGAACTAAACAAAACGTTAGCTTCA